TATTCGAATAAACCACTAAACGAATATTCGAATATCAGATTTTTAAAAATTCCGAGCCCTAGTTCGGGTTTGATAACGGGTTATTGACGTCATGGACCCAAATAGTTAGTTGATAAGATGATTTTGCGATGAGAGTCGTAATATTTGTCACTTGCAACGATTCCAGTGTTTCCAGTTTCTTAAACTGCGTTTCAATAAAAGTAGTTTGTAAAACGGACCGTCGTTAAACGCTTTTAATTTCGGCGTTTAACATAAACTTAGTTTCGTCAAACTGCGTTTCACTTGTTTCTGATGAAAATGGCCCTTATTAGAGCTTCGTGTCCGCTTGCAAGAGCTTAGTAATTCCTTATGAGAAAAATATCAGGTCCGCGTCCGTTTAATAAAAGAAAACTATTTCTAATCAAATGAACATTTTTATTACAATGTATACAATGAAGTTGTTTTAAACAAATTTAGTTAGTACTCAATGTTTACATCTTATGCTAAACTAGAAAATCACAAAAGCACGTTTATTATTTACAACATACCAAATCCTTTAGAGTAATTGATGGCTTTGACCAGTCTGTCTTTTAACTTTTCTTTCGAAGAGTATTCGGGGAGAAGTAACACATTAAAACAGGTATGAGCGGTGGGTAATCTGTCGGAATCGGGGCCATTTCGGGCTATGACCAGCTTTAATCGACTTAACCCGCCTATAGGAACCCGATCTGAACCTGTGGTAAATTGCAATAGCTTCCGTTTATCTTCCAAGGAGAAAGCGTGGACGAGTGACCAAAAATCTTTAATCACTTGAGCATCGTTCGAGTACCCACCGTCGTATTCTGTCGAGTTTTCCAACTCATCGAAATCGAAATTCTGAAACAAATGTACACAATAAAAGTAGTTAGGCAATCACAATTAAGTTGAGTTCTACGTACAAAAATAAACCTGAACCCTCCTTCGCTTGTAAATGCATCGGGCGTTAAAAAATGAGTACGAAATAATTAAAAATATATCGTATGGAGGAAATTAAACCAAAAACTCTGAGGAAACGTGGGTTCGCGAAGTAACATTTCCGGCGACAAAGATGATTGCAATTTTAACAAAAAAAATCAACTTGCTGGAAACTTATGCTGGCTTTATACACCACGGAAAAGGAATAACTTTTCAGGTATTAGATAAATGGCCTAAAGCCTAACGCCTAATAGCAATAAAGCTGAATTACTTGTTGTGAGTTGTTCTTGGTGGTGTGACGACCTAAAACAATTTGCAGTATGCGAATGCTCTATTCTTCTGGTCCCCTAATTCTGGTACTGATCCGCGGACTTGAAACCCGACTACGGGTTCCGAATCCTTCCGAGGACCGGGTTTAATGATCCGAATCTTTAAAGACAAGAGCCCACCAAGTCACAACAATTAAAGGGACACGGCACAGAGGCGGTGAATACCTCAGAGGGCGTGACGTCATGCGATCTGATTGATATATCGAATGATAGATACGCTGGATAGTATCAATGAGAAACTCAACATTTTGGAGGTAAAAGCCACAGGAGCTATTCCAAAAAGAAATCAATAATTAATACCAAATAATTAAGAATTGTTACCTGGAACGCTAATGGTATAATTGGTAAAAAAGTTGAAATAAAAGTATTTCTGCATAGTCAACACATTGATGTCTGTTTAGTCTCAGAAACCCATCTCACCAATGAATCATTTGTCAAAATACACGCTTACAAATGCTATCATTCCATCCACCCCGACAACCAACTTTTTTATCTCTAGAAAGGTATCATCGAATTACATCTACATTAATGACTGCTTTGATTTTAAATCAAACCATTCAGCAGTAGTTATGACTATGAGTGAAACAATCATTAAAAGGGAAGCCAAGCCAACACTCACCAACAAAACAACGGATTGGAAGTGCTTCCAAGCTAACGCACAAGAGAAAATCACGTTGAACGTAAGATTGAAAATAGCCGAACAACTCGACACAGATACCGAAAAATTTACGACTCTGCTGCAAACAGTTGCTTACAAAAACACCAAATAAATTACTCACTTCACGAAAGGAGTAAACTATCCGGTTGAAATTAGGATTTTAGTCAAAGAGAAAAGAAAAGCAAGAAGACGATGGCAACAAACACGTCATCCTAGCGATAAGACATCATTAAATAGACAAACTCAAAAACTCAAACGTAAAATTTACAAATCAAAACAGATTCTCCAAATTAATTTATGACAAATTTATCAGCAGATAAAGAAACTGAATATTCCTTGTGGAAGGTTACAAAGAAAGTTAGAAAACCAGTTGTGTCAATACCGCCGCCTATTAGAAAGGGACTAAGCGATTGGGCTCGTGATGATCAACAAAAAGCGGATCTATTTGCTGAACATCTGGGAGGGGTATTTGTACCGAACGACATACAAAACAACCATCACAATAAACCACCGGTTGCAGACAATATTTCGTCCTCCAATTCGATCGACATGATTGCTCTTGTTACTCTGAAAGAAGTAGCAGAAGAAATTAATAATAATCTCAGCCCAAAAACCACATCTATTTAACGCCTCAATCAGGATTAAACATATACCGGCAATGTGGAAAATAGCTGAAGTCATCATGATCCCCACGACTGGTAAATGTCAACACGATGTTAAGTCGTACAGACCAATTTCCCTCTTGCCAATAATATCAAAGCTTTTTGAAAAAATGTTGCTGAAAAGACTTAACAAATATTAGAGAAGCAAAAGTTAATCCCCGATCATCAATTTGGATTCCGATCAAACCTCTCTATAATTGATCAAGTGCACCCAATAACTGATGTAATAGTAATAGAGAAGTCACTAGAAGAAAATAAAGTCTGTTCAGCACTATTTGTCGACGTATCGCAGGCTCTCGACAAAGTATGGCATAAAGGCCTAGTCTACAAACTAGGTAAAATGTTACCCCAACCATACGTGAAAATTCCCACTTCATATATCACTAATAGACTATTCAGAATCAAGCAAGGAAGAGCTTACTCAGAGTTGAAGGAAATCCAAGCGGGTGTGCCACAAGGGAGCGTCCTAGGGCCTGCCCTGTATATATTTTTGACCAGTGATATACCTCAACAAAAAGAAGTTACAATAGCAACATATGCGGATGACAAAGGATTAATGTCAACTGGCACAAATCGAGTAACAGCCGCACATAAACTACAGAAAGCAAGCGACGCTGTTTATAAATGGACCACCAAGTGGAAAATTAAACTTAACGAAACTAAATCGACCTATGTTAACTTTACCAACCAAAATTTGACAGATCCCGCAGTAATAAATATTAATGGAACCTGCGTCTCATATGCTAATACTGCGAAATACCTTGGTATGACTTTGGACACCAAATTAAGATGGAATGAACGTCAGAAAAAAAGTAAGAGTTGAAAATTAAAATTGCGCAATATAAATGGCTGATTGGCAGGCATTTTAAGATGATTTTGCATAACAAACTTTTAATTTATAAACAAATTATTAAACCTACATGGCTCTACGGTATTCAGCTATGGGGATGCACAAAAAAACACACATATAAAAAAATTCAAACGGTTCAAAATAAGGCATTACGTTAAATAGCCAAGCCCCATTTACTCCTGACTGTTGAAAAGAAACACCAAGCTAGACTGCAGCTACATCCGAACGCAAAAGCCCGCCAGCTGCCAGATGATCAGAATTTATACCGCAGATTGAAGAGAACAAAGCCCTTTGAATTGATATAGTGTTTTAAACAAGCGGATAGCCACAGCAACAAGCGGATAGCAGCAGCACACGGCATAATGGTACCGTTGACGTTTCATCACTTGCCGCTTCGTGGTGGTAGTGTCAAAGTTATTTTGTCTGCATATAAGGAAAATTAACTAAGTCTAGTAGTAGAGAGTAGAAGAAACTCAAAATACTAAATGTTTTCTTGTATTGCCAATAACGATTTTTTTAATGATTTTAAGTAATGCTACCTAGACTAGATGTAAAATAAAATTTTAAACGAAACGAAAACCAGATTTCCATCAGAACATTCATTTCTTATTCAACAGTTTTACATATTTGTGGTAAATTCTTTGTGGAAAGAAATACTGAGTATATCTAATCTTTATAATGTCAATTTCCACTGCAATATTTAAGTCCAACAATAACAAAAATAAAATAATAAAATCTAGCGTAACCACTTTTAAAATTCAACAGATAGCTTGGCAACAACATTGGCTTAAAAACGTCCACGTAAAAAATAATTACTTGGATTACGTATGTATATAAAAACGAAAACGTGCATTAATATTAATAATTATTATACAGGGTGTTTGAGAAATAAGTACCTAAATTTTAGATTACACACGTAATTCAGAAAAGTTAGTAAGCCACGGTTCTGTTAGAATCATTTTTTCTTAATAAACAGTTAACCTGCATCCGCCGTACTTCTTGTGTCCAACAAGTAATCCATTACAAAATGTATATCCATATACCATTACAAAAGGATATTCCTATAGAGCATAATAGTAAAGTGTAATGCATAATAGTAAATTCAATAAATACCAAAAAAATTAATGTAATGAAATTCGGTATAATATTGAGTACTTATGTGCGCATGCTGTGGTTAAAATTAAAATTATCAATCTGATTATGCATCATGGTCT